CGGCACCCGGTGCCTTACCTATCCTTACGTACAGACTTACGACTAAGGGACACATTGCAAGACAATTTGCGAAGCAAAATATAAAACTGAACGGAAGCTACCTCATAACAACTATAGCTGACAAACCAACAAAATATACATACAAGGCCTACAAGCCCAACATACTGCACTAACTGAGAGGATATGTCTACAAGCCTCTACTGATGGATGTACTGTATCGGAACAGGGCCCCGACTTACCCATAACCTATATATATATATATATATACATAAGATGTACACAAAACTCTAGACCCGACAACTCCGAAGGACGTGGAGCTTACCGATAAAGCTGAACTCGGGCAACACCTACTGAGGAGGTCTACCCGTCTGTCTGTCTGAACCTGCACCCATGAAATGCATCGTGCCCAGAAAAAGGGACGTCAGTACAAAATAACGTACCGATATGCAAGGCAATAAAATAACTGAAAGCTGAAACTGAACTGATAATATAATAACTAAAAGTAACTGGGAGTCAAAGATGATCTTGAGATATACTTACCTGCTGATACTGACTCAACTCTCTCAATATAGTAAATAAAATAGATGTCCGGCCCTATAAGGCTCAGAACGTGTAACTGCTCCACCGTAGTAGGCTCGCTCATAGGCGCTCGGCCATACTAGGTTCTGTACCTCGGCCATGCTGGGCTCGCTAATAGGCGCTCGGACACAGTAGGCTTGGTATATAACTTACCATTTGATCAGAGGTTTCCCAATAGGGGCCTGCCCACCGATTATAGCTCGATGGTGGGAAAAATACTGTAATACTGTATATATATAGACCCTCCGCTCTCTTGACTGGAAGAAGACAATACTCAATTGAATATGAAGTCCCGATAAGGAAAAATACTGTAACTTATGAAACTAGCATAATGTATATAAATTCTGGAGTATGAAATTCTCTTTATGCCTCGTTATCAAACGCATGTAGTTATGAAATCATGCCAAAATGAATGAAGGGCTTAACCTTAACATACCTGGAGTAGGGGAAATCCGTATAATATTCTTGGGAAAGATTTCACCGTACTTCCTTAGAATCACAAAC